AGTTTTCATCTCGCTTAAGATCAGGAGCTATTGATATTCTACGAAAAAGACATAAATCGCTTATATCTCATAAACCATCTAGTAAAAGAGTTCCTAGCTATCACGGTTCTTGAGTTACAGAGAGCCCGCTACTTTTGGGGAGTACTGTAGGTAGAGAATTTAATTCTCTAAAAACTATCTGCTAGAGCTGGGTTTCTAGAAGCCGATCTTCAGGGTAAAAAGTTATAAATACAGTTTTTCACCGTGAAAATCAAATCGAACCAAGTCGAATCCAGCAGGTAAAAGTTGGAAAATTAAACTTGCTGCACAATTGTCTCTAGATTGAACTGTAGAAAACGCTTGTTGCATAGCAAGCAAAAATCGGAAAAACATAGTCAAAAAAGTGTTATTTCTAATTTTTGCTATGAAACAAGCGTTTTCTACAGTTCAATCTAGAGACAATTGTGCAGCAAATTTAATTTTCTAACTTTTATCTGCTGGATTCAACTTCGTCCTGGGTTGACTTGGAAAATTATTCACCTTCTTGTGAGTGTCTCTATATTTTTCTTTTTCTTTCTGAATTTTCTTTCATTGTTCAGTATAATCATCTTTGTGATTTATTTTTTGCAGCACATGTACATATGACGAAGTATACGATGTTGAATAATAGTTTGTTTGTATTTTCCAATGTCTAATGAAGACGTTTTCAACATCAAAATACAATCAATCAATATTATTGTTTTAATGAAGAAATAGTTTTATATAAAAATTAAATTAGTTATGACCTTTCTTGTAAGAACAAACACAAGTCTCTAATGGCTTCGTCGATTACTGCAATTCTTGAGAGCTGCAGAATATCATCAACAATGGCTGTATGGGCTAGCAGAGACAGAGATTTGTATGATTTTTCTTCATTTTAATACACTTTTATAGACTCGATATAACAGAAGTGTAGTGAAAATTTAGTTGTAGTATAGCTTTGCAGAATTTTATTAACATGTAGTATTGAATATTAGAAAAATCTCAATATGCAGTTTGCTAGAGAATACATGGCAGTAAAAGTTCAAAGTTGAACTAGTCTTTATCCAACTCCTTAAGGATTAGCCTAAATTATTCAACCAGACAGGAACTCTTCAATTCGTTGAAAAACTAAGTCTCTGCTCATTCTGGCTAAGTTTTAAAACTGTCAGAAAAAAATGAGAAAGACTTACCTAAATCAAAAAGCACTTCTTGTTCATCCGGAAATGCACTGACTAAAGCTATATCGGCGCAAATAATGCTTTTCAATCGAATATCAGTTTTAATTTCAAATAGGACATTTGTCCCAAATATACAAGCTACTTTTCTTGAACGACAAGATCTTATGGAAAATATACAAAAAACTATTAAATTAGCTGAAAAGCAATTGATCACTCTGAATTTGTGTGATCAACGACAGAAGGCTACGCGTGATTTAACAACAGAATCTGGCTCATTTTTAATCTTTCAACTGTTCAAAAGTGTTTTATTAAAATTGCCTAAAACTCCGGAATCCAAACAGGAAATGATTAAAAAATGTCGACAATATTATCGTGGCAACGAAAAACAGTTAGAAAAAATTAAAGAATTTGATTCAACATATAAGTCTAATGAAGCTATAAAATGTTACACAAAATACGAGTTTATTTATAGACTTGTCAACAAAGCTCTTAGAACCGAGGACATCAATGAATTACTTATATTTCGATTTTTCATTATTGATCTATGCTTGAATTTAGCAAAAAAGCACAATGAGCTAAAAAAGATTGAAAAACAACCGATTATTGATTTATATCGTGGAGTTTGTTTAAGCA